AAGAGTGAAGTCTATAACACCTGAGCAAGTAACGAAAAGCATCCAGACTACATTTGTTTGTCGGATAGATACTGCTAAAGTGCCAAACTGCAAGAACAAAACCGAAATAAAATTGCCTACATAATTGTAATTCTAAGTTCGAACAATAACAAAACTAACTTGCTTCAAAGCACTTACCAATGCACTCAGCATATATCTTCTTTTCAAACAAGCAAGGTACATGGCAAGAACTGCGGTTAGAGACGCAACATCTGTATAGTAGAGGAAAGTGAAGAACCAATGGAGAGGGTAAAGCGACATGACTAAGGCCATAAAAGTCGCCTTTCTATCACTGAGATTCGGCCCCAAGAATCTGATTATCACATACACTAAAACACCACACAATACTGCAAAAACAGCATTTGTAGACCGCAGGACAGATGTCGAACAAGCTTCTGGAAAGGACTGAGTAGTATTTTTCATCAACAACATTCCTGGAAACAAACTAGCAACATGTGCTAGTGAAAGATAGTACCTACAAAAATTGCATGTATACCAACATTTTCAAATTCAAAAGAAGTAGTAACAACACAAATTGGCATCAAAACACATTGAAAAATCCAGACTTTAAAGGTAACTAATTGAGAATCTACGTAAGAAGAGAGTATTACAATCCAGGTGGGGTAGTGATCATTGGATCCCAACTCCTAAAATTCCCATTGCAGTATTGCTGAGCTTGAGGAACATGAAATATCTCGTCCTGCAAAATTCAACAGTAATCAAAACAAATCAGAGAGATAGAGAGTGATTCGCAGATTCTATTGAGAACCCAAGTTCTAAAAAGGGGGTTTTTTACCATGTAGGGTTCAGGGACAATGTGATTGACGATAATCGACATTGGATCACCCACAAGCTCGTGATCGCTGCAACGGTTAATTTCCCCATATTTCCTCTACGAAAAGAAACCAATCAGATCTGGGTGATTATTACATTCGCGGATCAATCATGGGTTTTCGTGCCCTAACGAACAACACAATGAAAAATCGGATTTTGCCGGGAAATTGAGTGAGCTGAAAGAAGACGGTGAGATTTCATCGGAGAAGAAAACTCGGGAGGAGTCAAATCGAAGTCAACGTTTTCACTTTTCAAGATTAAAATTGGGCTTTTACCAAAGCCCAATTCAGTTGTGAGGAGAAAGCCCTGTATTTAATATAAATTTTTAATTCCCAGTTCTTTTAAAGTAGATATTCGTTTAGACCTCTATGTTTTTATACAAATCTTGTTAGACCCAAACTTTTTTTTAGTGAGAAATAAAACGAAGAGAAGTTCATAACTAAAGTTATTCGGATTTTTTTTTAGGTAAAGGAATTTCTTCGCTTTATTATTTTGTCAATTTCACTAGTCATGTTAAGTAGAGATCAATAATCACTATATAATTGATAAGCCATACACAGCTGTGTGTGTCTTTCTTTATTTGGTAATAATGCCCAGCTGATATCGATATGACTCTGAATGAGTTTGAATTATTTTCTAACGAAAAAGAATTATCCCCATATTATTATTTGTTTCACATATTCCACCTTTTTTTAAGTTAATAAAACATAGGAGTATTAAGTTTTCTAGTTCGACAATATTTCACTTCTTATTTATTAAGAATTTAAAATTTAGTTATCAAGTTGTTTTCTGTTTTACTCCTCAAATTTAACCGTATACAATTGAATTCAAACTCCTTGCAAGTTGCAGCTAGCAAACCCATAATACAGAACCAAAAAATTGCATCTGCGACTTGCGATGCAAAATTCCATAATTCATGTAAATAATGTAAACTCCATGAACTTTTCTATATGTATATTGTTTTTTTCTTCTAAATGAGACCTTTATTAATTATTAGAGGAACAAGACTAAGCATGTCCTACACAAATAGACAACAAAGCTGTCTCGTGTCCTTAGGAATATACACTGCAAAGCGATTTTTATTAAAAGATGTGGGAATCACAAATAAAGCTTTATAAGATAATGAAAGCATTCAATTAGAATCTCTGGACCCAGATCCCAACCTTTATCTAATTTACTACTATATGTTTTGACTTTAGTTTATACTATTAGTACTTTGTTTAAGGTAAACTCCGTAGATAAGCTGTTTTCTCTTTTGTTTACAAGAGGGCAAATAAATTATAAAACTGCATAAAATTATCGTGAAAAACATATATAATCGTTGATCCTGAAAATATGATGGTTCATAACGTGTAAAATAATTAAAATATTTGACTGGACTATCAATTCATGAACATCACACAATTTGTTTTTTTTTTCAGACTTTCACAGTGTAGTTTCCTCAAGATACAGTGTGTAGTTTCCTCAAGATACAGTGTGTAGTTTCCTCAAGATCTTACTTAGAGTGATTAATTAGAGGGGGTTTAAAATAAGATTTTAACTAAATTCAGTGAGGTGAATAATAGTTGTTACTGATGATGATCCTTAGATAGAGTGGGTAAAACCAAGGAAAATAAATGGTCCCAAAATTTGCATGTGGGATTTGATTCATATATGTCTAAGCAGCATCGTTTGATGTCATAAAGTATCTCATTTTTTTTTATCTCTCCATGTGTAAAAAGCACACCACCTTTGCTATATAAAAAGAGAGAAACCACCCTCTTTGAATTCTATATATACACATATAGATAATGTTACTTGATGACGTTAACACTCGAGTTGGATATTTGTAACTCGAAGACAAAAAAAAACTGTATTAATATAATTTGTAATCAGTAGTATCAATTAAATGGAAACCCGATCAACAACTTCTTAATGATACTACAAAACTATGGAAATGACCAATATATATTTATTTAGAATATAATTAGCTTATAAAGTCTTTCTCTTTTCTTTTTCTTTTCTTTTTTGTTAAAAGCTATCATAGAAAGTTTTATTTTAACTTGTTAGTATATGCTTTGTAAGAGTTTATGAATTTCGATTGTACGATCTTGTTATCCTTTTCAGATTATTAAAATGACCAATGCATAAACATGTTATTTGATCATGTTTGCAACTTTCTCTCGTGACTTTTGATAGTACTATATATATATACACATTTATGAAAATATAAATTTTGTACTTTGAGAGAGATTTTTTTTCTCCTAATTAATTTTCTGACCCAATAATATGTATAATTTATTAAGCTAAAGAAAGTAAATAACAAAACGTGAAAGATGGAGGACATGATGAGCACCCATGTGCGTATAGTCATCGCACCACATGCCTAGTCGCCAATCTTTCATTATCCTTTGCTAACCTTTTAATTTACTCACTTAATCCATACTTTAATCCCCTAATTTAATATCATTACTTACATCTTTATAATTTCACAATTTGTTAATTTGGACTTTGGAGGATGGTTCTGGTAGGTGGTCGTCGTTTAGAGACGTATGGCAAGTTTACCAAATCTAAAGTGGTTCACATTTTACGGCTGAGGAATCCAAAGTTAAAAATTTCCACGAGTATCTCATATATAGATTAATTTATAAAGAACATCAATATTTCAAATGTTTATGATAATAATATCAAGTAAAATAGCAACGGTAATTAATGATGGATAAATACAAATTTTAGAACAGTACTGTGTATTGTTATTGGTTTTGAACATGAAAAGGTTGCGTCTGAACTTTGGAGATCTCATTGTTAGGGATATATTTAGCAAGTAGTCATAGGCATACCCCAAACTATTGCTGCATTTAATGGTAATCTTATGTTTTGTTTTCTACTCCTATATATCACAAAACAGTAAAATAGTAAATTAAAAATAATTCGATACATGTAAGAAGTTTAGCTTATAAACATTATTATTCTTATTTAAAATAAATAAGAATCCTTCAAAAGTAGTATCATTAGCTTGTGCAAATTAGTATCATTAATTCAGTTTATATTTTAAATCTAAAAAGTAACATCTTACAACGTTTTTTAGAGTAAATTAAACATCACTTTCTTTAGAGAGGCCGTTATGCAAATTTTTTTCCGAGAAATATAAGCAAGAAAAAAAGATTATTTTTTTCGTGTTTGATAAGGAAATTAAGAAACAATGACAAGTATCAACAAAATTGATTAGTGAGAAGTCAATTATTAGTTGGTGATTCATTACTTGCGTGCACGATAAAGGAAGCATCTGAGAAATTTATTTTGTCACGATATAAGACAAATATTATCATATACGAAACCGTATATGAAGATTGAAGATTGAAGAAACATGAGAAACTAAAACATAGAAATTTCAAAAAAAAAAAATACCGCGAGGTCCCATGCAAAGCAAAGGCACGTGCGTCTGATTTGCATCAAAGTTTGTGAACAAATTTTTTTACCTTTTCGTTTTTCTTCGATGTGGTTCATTTTCCATTTAATAAGCAAAAATTTGTAAACATATAAGAATGCAAATGCGTCAAGTAGTAAAGAAAGCACGGATGTTTTTGAATCGCCAAAATCGTTATTCTGAAAGTCAACAAGACTAATCAAATCATCGAGAAAATTAATAAAAATTATTTCATTTACATGAAAGTAAAAAGTAATTTAGTTTTTTTCAATAAATAAAAAATATAGTCTTTATGTATATATATATATATATATATACTGTATATATATTCTTTTGCATGCATACATATTCTGATATTCACATTATGATTAGTTTGTAAACAGTGTTAAAACGGCATTGTAAATTGTTGTTATAAGTAGTTTAAAATCATATATTAAAAAGGGCATTCTCATAGTTTTAACATCGAATGTTTTGGCTCTAGAAAATTATTTTTTGGTTTGCAAATAGTGTTGGATCATATATTTGATTTTCTTTTTCTAGGTTTTTATAGCTTACTGCTAAATTTCACATAGCAATAGTATACATTATACAATGTATATAATGAGCCTATAATAAAACAAATCAAATAAATAAACATTTTATGTAATCCCGCCACTTGGGAGACAGATCACTAGTTAGTTGAAATGGAGGCTTTCAAGCTTCGGATCCAACGCACGTAATCTCTCTCTGTCTCTCTCTTTTTCTTTCTCTCTTCTTCTCTCTTTCTCTCTCTAAAACTTGTCTAATGGCAGAGATCTGCTGCGTCAAAGAGATCCAAGAAGAAGACGTAGAGAAGATCCGATTACCGACCCGACCCGAATTAGACATCCCTGACCCTGATCACGAAGATCCAACGGTCAACGAAGAAGATGGGTGCAAGACTCCAACATCGTCCGATCACAAGATTCCGGAGGTGAAGTATACGTTATGTCCACCGGCTCCGAGAAAACCGAAACCGAACCGGTCGTCATGTACGAAACGGAAATTAACGCCGGTTAATGTTGTTAACCGTATACCGATTGATCTGAGCCGTGAGATCGAGATGTTCTTCGAGGATTTGGACCGTAGGATCAAGAAGTCCCGGAAACAATAAGATTATTGCTTTAATTGGTAATGATCGTTCATTTCTAATTCATGACTGTGTGGTGGTAATTTGATCCTTTGAATTTTTCTTCATTTTTTTGTTTGTTTTTCATTTTCTGTATAATTAATTAGCTAATAACAATAAGAAAATTTATGTATCATTTAATTTGGAATTATACAACTGAAACAAAGTCAAAGCTCACATTATAATTTCTTCTTTTCAATTTCAACATTAACTTACGTTTTCAATGCATATGTATTAATTGTCTTTTCTGATTTTGATATGTTTGATTTTTGGAGTAGAGCAAATTTGTAAATGTAATTAGCCCAAAAAACAGCTTGAGGGTAAATTTAGTTTGAATCATGTAATTTTCATTTGGCCAGTTTCAAATTTTCATTATATTATTATGACATATTTAATTTATTTTCCTTTGAAAATAGTATATTTAAGAAAATATACTCCTTCTGGGTCTTAAGCTCACTATGAAGAAGGTAGTCTTAATATTACACAAATATATTTCATATAGAAGTAATTATATTTATTTACCTGATTAGTCTTAATACAATAAAGGCTCAATTTTCCTATATCACACAAATCTATACTATCACATCACTAGAAAAACTATACCTGATCAGTGACAATAATAGATTTAACAAACCTAACTAAGATTTGACAAGAAAAAATAAACTAAAGAATTTCAGTGGAAGCAAACATCCTTCGTAATGGATCATGCTTCCTGCTTTGGGTACACCTTGTTATGATCGATGGATAGATTAATATTTTATACACCTCTATTATGTGTGTGCCATTGTGATGTATACAGGGTTAAAATGCACATCAATCAAGGAGAATATCGTTAAATTCCATAAATTTTCAGAATTTATTAGATACATATATTCTTCTACTTTCATGTGTGGTATACTGATAAACTATTCCTGTAACGGAGCTGACCGCAATAATAATTTATTAACATTACTTAAATATAAAAATAAATAAATAATAATCTCTTTTATTAGCTCTTAATCTAAAACACAAGAGTAAGTTACTCTAGTTGACACATACAAAATTTATTTTCTCTTTAATTTGAAATGCAACCACTTAGGCAAAATACTTTCTAAATATCATAAGCATATCTTTTACTCATGTACACATTACTTTATAAATTAGAAATTTTTTGATTTTGTGTTATTCTCAACATTAATCTTAAAATTAATTTCAAAACCATTTAATATCATGTAATAAAAATATGCCCCTGCCATAGTACTAGTTTATGTAATATTGTGTGCTGGGTTTAGCGATGGCGTGTTGTTTAATGTATCCCATTGCAATGAATCGATGATGTTTTATATTTTTTGCTTTCAAGCTTTTCTAACTTAGGGATTGAAAATAATGGTTCTTCCACGCAAAGCAGCATATCAAAAGATCGGATGACGACTCAGCAGAAATTGGCAAATGACGATGAATATAATCTCCCGTTAACTTTTTGAAAAACTAGTGTCATATTATCTAGTATCTACGGTACTCCGATTATGCAAACACTTACAATTAAAATTAAATTTTATATATATTCATACGAAGAAAATATAACGTACTAACAACATTATATATAGAACTAGTTAAGACCCAATTCCACAAGCTTAGTTTCTCTCTAGTAAAACAAAAAACAGTTTGAAATCAGAGGAACCATGCTAGACATTTTGGACAACACAAGAGTCGCGGAGACCGGAGATTCTCACTACTGGTACTGGATGCTTGGTCTGGTTTTCCTGATTTTCTTTTTAATCATCGTGGTTACCCTCGTAAGAAATTGGTGTGGTGGTCGTCGACACAGGAAGGTTCATCCTATGACTGATGACAAGAAATGCAAATGGGTAATGTGAATTAGACGTATAGTTTTTATATTTACTTATAAATAAAAACATTATCGTCATTAAAACCATCAGTATATATATATATATATATATATATATATATATATATATATATATATGTATCTCCTATCTCTTTCGTAACCTCTGAAGTGAAGCTGTGAAGGAATCATGAACAAAATAAAGCGTCTTTTTTTTTTTTGTCTTTTTTGATAAAATGTATGGAAATCTTGGTCTACTCAAGAAAGGTTTATACTTTATAGTATAGCTCAATGATGTAATAAGATATTGAAGTTATAAGAATCTATATTTCGTCGTTAATCTTTCAAGAACTATTTGGGCTTGAAGAACATATATATAATGATCAGTGGGCCGACATTTTCATATATTATTAGGAATGTGGCCTAACTTAACCCAAAAGCTAGCTCAAGAGTTAAGGATTGCCACATCCTTTATATATTACCCAAAGATCTTAATCCTAAGCAATGTGGGACATTCTAATAGGTCTCCTCGAGATGTGGGTGGGAAACGGTCCAACGGGAAACAGCCCAAGCCCAACATCTCGGAAATACAACAAGACATGCCACTTATATGGGCCACATAGGTGGGAAACCATTTGTGTGGGAATTTGCTTGTTGGGCCAACCTTGGGCTCTGATACCATATTAGGAATGTGGCCTAACTTAACCCAAAAGCTAGCTCAAGAGTTCAGAATTGCCACATCCTTTATATATTACCCAAAGATCTTAATCCCAAGCAATGTGGGACATTCTAATACATATACTTCTTGAATTATTATATAGAATTCGGCAACATAAATAGTTTCGGAAAAGTTTGGAGTGATCGAAATACGTCTTTCCAAGCTGAATTATACTAGTGATCAAGCTTGAGAGTTGAGACCATCAGATTGAATCAAGCTGGCCCAAGATTGGTCTAAAAAGCTCTCTCATCTTCTCTCTTGCAAGTCTTTCCTCGCTCGATCAATCAAGCTGGCCCAAGATTGGTCTAAAAAGTTCTCTATCAATTTTTTTTTTTTTTCTGAATGAAGGACAGTATCGACAGTTTATTAATTTATTTCACTGAATAAAATGTACACCCTTTTAGACAAAAAAATTTTTTTTGGTGTTTTCATCATTTTTAATATATTAAATTCATGGTAATGAAAAATTAAAAAAAAAAAGAAAGTGTGTTAAGGACTTTTGTTAACACGCTTTCTTTTGTCGTCACAACACACTTATTTAAAAATGGAAAATGGTAAAGATTCGGAGTATCCCACTAAAAGGATAAGTAATTTAAAAGTTAGAAAATATATTTTAACGAATTAGTATATCACATAACGGAAATTGAAACTAAGCAGTGCGGTTAAATACTTAAATCAATGTTCCAAAGTCGTGATATAGGAGGAAAATTTAGTTGATGGAAGTAGTCAAGTAGAAGTACGTAACTTCTTATAAGTTTTACAGAAACAAACTTGGATATATATTCATATTTTCATATATTAGTATCTGAGATAAATTTAGCTATAATGCTCATTTATTAACACTTTTTAATTATATAATTATATTTCCAGTCTAGATAGCCTTACGTTCACTATCTTTTTTCTTATAAAAAAAAAAGACACCCTTAAGATTGAATTGAGGAAGCAATACATAGTTGGTTGTATACACAAACGATAAACATATATGTTGAATCATTGGTGAACATAAAACAACTAGTCCAATAATTTATTTATTATTTCTTATAATAACCAAGCACATAATTTCTTTTGTAATGTTAGATTCAACAAGAATCTCCTCCCTCTCCACCAAACAGAAACAAATGTTCTTTTCCCTTTCTCAATCCATAACATTTGTCATTGTCTAATAAATATTCTAATTTAGATCTTTTACTTCTCTTGAACTTGTAACTAGAATCAATGACGAGAAGGTCTCGAACGCGTGCTGACGCCATATCATCTTTATCCTTTTCTGGTCGATGACCATTACCCATTGGTGGACTATTGCCGGAAGGAGAAGTCTTGACTACTCCTCCAACTCCAACAATATTCACACCATCACTTATCACATCAAATAGTTCCTTTGGCCAATAACCAATGTGTATATCTTTTCCTACGTTTTTTATATCTGATACCCACCAATTTCCTGTTTTTTTATCCTTTAATAGATAATTAAAAAATACAAATGTTAGATTTGATATATATTAAAAACACACAGAGACACATAAAACTATTTAGTAAAGCGAAGAAAAATATGAGTTACCTGTTGAAAATTAGAACCAATGTTTCTTTTACCTTCAGGAGCTTCAGGTAAAGGCCCACTTATAAGATCTCTTTTTGACACTTGAACAAAACCAGGACATACTGTATTATAACACCCTGTCCCATTGGCACCCTATCATTAACAATTCATATAGATTAATAGAATTCTTGTGACAAAATATAGTTTAGCAGTAACTGTAAATTTCTAAAAGAAGTACATGATTGTTAAATAACAGTAAGGAAAAACATATGGCACTAAAAATAACTAGCTAAATCAAAAGATTTGCCCTTAAATTTCATATATAATTTGTTTTGATGGTGACCATAGATTTATGGATATTCATTCCATAGTTTCTATAAGTTATAGCTTATAATATAGTATTCTTCCTCTATCATTAGGATTGGAACTCAGGATCCCATGGTATTGCTCTTCCCCACGATCTCTCTAGTACAAATCTACCAATACTAGGTGCTTTAGAGTAGATTTTGAAATTTGGTTTGTATTAAGGTGGTAAAGAGTGAAATGTTTAATAGATTTACCTTAAAATATCCATAACCCCATACGCGTCCATCACCAAATAAACTTGGATTTATCTGAGTCAAATTAAGACATTTTATTCTTAAAATCATATGATTTATCAAAAAATAATTATATAAAAAATATATATATTATAAACAGTAACTTACCATCCAACCGGTTTCAATAAAATTATCTATGTTGTTTACTCGACTGCCAGCATATACGTGAGCATATGAAACTTGGTCCCGACTAACGTTTAAGTCATGTACACTTATATAAGATGCTGTACCATAGAAAGGACTCTGACCGTTGCCTTTCAATCTAACTCCGGCAAACTTGAAATTCCAAAATTTTTAATAGGCTTAAAAATGTGTAACTAAAGTAACTGAAAGTAGAATAATAAAGATATAATTGAGTGCTTACATGTATTCCATGACTTTGCATTGTGAACGGATTGAAATGCTTTTCTCCAAAATATTGGGCATTTGCAACATACTCTTTTGTGTGTCTCAATATAGGAACTGTTCCGTTTGGACAATCGATGATTGTTTTGAATATTTTGCGTTCGACTTGATTTTTTGATTTAGGGATTAGAAAAGATGGTTCCATCTACATTAGTCACATATATATATTGTCACACGATAGATTGGTGATGTGAGAGATTAAATCATATTTGGTTATAAAAAGCTACAATTAACTGTTGAGAAAAGAAAAGATACAATTAAGTTTTGTATGATAAATTTTAGATGAAAAAAATACCTGAATTTTGTGATTTTTGAGTAGTGGATGATTTAGCGAAGGTTGTTTGTAAATATCCACACAATCATATATCATCTTCTCATTTAACTATGAAAATAATGTATGAGATCGATATATATCTCAATCTCATAATTTACGTATAAAAGATCAAAATAATGATTAATATTATATACATTAATACATATTTTAACTTACCTTGATAGATTTCCAACTTTTAGTAGTTTCTCGGGATTGCACAAAAGAGAATGAGACTAGAAGTGCAAAGAGTTTGAGAATGAAATCCATGGGTTACAGATCAATATTTTGGAAGTTTTTTTAGTAGTATTTTTTGTTATACCTATATATTTGAGATCAGACACAACACTAGTATTTATAATAACTAGAGATTTTTAACCGTGGTTTGGGTTTATATACATAAAAAGGTTTTTGTTAATTTTCTATTGGTAAACTTTAATTTTTAATTAAAAAAATTATTACTATACACTTTAATTGTGTTTAGTGTGTTCAGATTTCATATAACTTTTTCCTCTTTTTATTGGTCTACTCTGATTTGTTTTTTTAATACATGTATATTCGTATTTGGTCCACTTAGGTTTGACACGTGGCGAGTTATAAACCGTCAGATTATGGGATATCAAAAGTCACACTTGATTAAGAATGGCAGGGATCCCTTGATTCTCTCCTTTCCACAACTCTCCCTCCAAAACAAAAATCATCACAACGAGAGAAAACTTTGAAATCCAAAAAAAAAAAAGACGAGAAATTTGAATTTATTGGGAAACAAAAAGAAGAAGATCTGGAAGTTTCTATGAACAGTAATGGCGAATCAAGGCGGCGAAAACGGGAAATTGGAACGGAAGAAGACGATGACGATGAATTGGGCGGGGTTAGGCGAGGTTGAAGACGACGACGATCATTTTTTCGATAGCTCTAATCGTATCTCCACCGTTGTGCCTTTGGATTTAGCATCATCTTCAGATGAGGAAGAAGGTGAGTTTGATGATTGCCGGATCTCGTTTTCTTCTAACGTATCGTCCTCCTCTCGCGCTGCTCCTACGCCGGATATGTCGCCGGATTATGATATTTGGATGTCGGCGCCGGGATCTATCACGGAGCGTCGTCGTCGGCTTCTTAATGGAATGGGACTTGAATCTAAGAAGACTATGCTCGGAGCTATCTCGATTCAACGCGTGAGTGAACCTGTTGCGGCGGCGGGTGTGTGCTCTGGTTCTCGCGTTGCGGAAGCGAAGGTGGAGGAGTCAGATCATAATTCTCCGGTGAATCAACGAGTTCATCGATCTCCGTCGATGTCGGTTTTGCTTGTACGGTCTAGATCTGATTCCGATATCGAAGCGTCTTCTGCTGAGAAAAAGAGGAAAGAAGAGATGTTAGGGAAAACGTCGAAATCGCGATTAACTAGAACCGCGTCTGCGATTGGAGCTCCGTGTGCGAGAATTTGTCCCTACTTCACCCAAACGCAAGCCTCGCCGCCGGACGCACCAAACGGTCATCAGTCTCAAGGCCAACGTAGTGGTGCGTTGCTCTCTTCGGTAGTTTCCAATACTCGTTTTAGTGCTTTTTTCTTGATCAAGAATCTTGACACTGGGAAAGAGTTCATTGTGAAGGAGTATGGTGAGAATGGAATGTGGAATCGGCTTAGTGATTTGCAAACTGGTAAGCAATTGACAATGGAAGAATTTGAGAAAAGTGTTGGCTATTCATCTGTTGTTAAGGATCTTATGAGACGAGAGAACGCGAATTCGACGATGGATTTTAGGAAATTCAATTCGTATGTGTCAAAGAGTTTGAGAGTAAGTAAGAAGAGAGGAGCTGCTTTGTTAAAGAACATAAAGGACGTTGCTCATTCTATGAGCTCTTCTAAGGTTTCAGAGAAAGAGAAGGATTCAACTGGTAGTGGTACAAGTAGTCCAAAAGTAGCGGAGAAGAACAATGAGCAGGCAAATCAATGGGTGAAAGTGAGGCATTCAGGGAAGTCTCATAAAGATTTAAGTGCTTTGCATATGTGTCAAGAGATTCAAGCTCATCAAGGAGGTATTTGGACTATGAAATTTAGTCCAGATGCACATTTATTAGCAAGTGCAGGGGAGGATTGTGCAATTCATGTGTGGGAGGTTCAAGAATGTGAAATCATGTCAATGAGTGAAGGGAGCTTGACACCGATTCATCCTTCAATGTCTGGTTCCACGGATAAATCGTCTACCGAATGTGATGCTGCAGAAGTGTCACAGGATAAGAAGAAAAAAGGGAAAACTTCAACGAGTAAAAAAGGAAACCAGATACCAGATTATGTCCACGCGCCTGAAACTGTGTTCTCATTGTCAGATAAACCAATTTGCTCTTTCACTGGTCACTTGGATGATGTTCTGGACTTATCCTGGTCTCGGTCACAGGTTAGTTTACGGTCATTTTTTGCCAACATTAATGAAAGCAGCCATGAATTTCTATTGACATAGTTAATCATTGGTTGCCATATATACACAGCTATTGCTCTCATCTTCCATGGACAAAACTGTGCGGTTGTGGGATATTGAAACTCAAAGTTGTCTAAAACTATTTGCCCACAATGACTATGGTAAGAAAGGAAATATAATTCAATACTCATATTCCTTAAATTTCATATGGTTTTGGGAAATTCATGTCTTCCTCTATGGTTTTTAGTTACTTGTGTACAATTCAATCCACTGGATGAAGATTACTTCATCAGTGGCTCCCTTGATGCCAAGATCCGTATATGGAACATATCAAACCGTCAAGTCGTTGAGTGGAATGATCTAAAGGAAATGGTTACCGCGGTTTGTTATACTCCTGATGGTCAGGTACATAATTCTCCTGAACTGTCACCAGCATATACTTGCATTAACGAGCTGGTATTGATATCTCTATGCTCTTTGGTAGGCTGCATTTGTTGGTTCAATTAATGGGAATTGCCGGCTTTACAGTGCAGAGGGTATATTTGCTAAAGACTCATTCTATTTTGAAAACCATGTCTATTAACCTTTAATTCGTCATAAAGTTAATAGACTCATTCTAAACTTTTTCTCTAATGATTGATCAGATTGCAAGTTGGAACAAACAAACCAGATAGATCTGCAAAACAAAAAGAAAGCTCAAGCTAAAAAGATCACAGCCTTCCAGGTTTCATTCTTTTTTTTGAAAACGTGTACATTGTTGTTTTTTTGCCTCTAGAAGATTCTTACTTACCATTGAGTTTGCATATAACAGTTTTCTCCAATTAATCCATCAGAAGTGCTTGTAACTTCCGCTGATTCACGCATTCGGATTCTCGACGGTACTGAACTTGTTCAAAAATTCAGAGGTATGTAACTGAAACAACTCCATTTGCTTCTTCGTTCCATTTCACAAACTAACATTTCTAAATCTCCTATTGATACATAAACCAGGCTTCAAAAACATTAATAGTCAAATGACAGCATCTTACACAGTAGATGCTAAGCACATTGTCTGCGCAAGCGAAGACTCACAGGTTTACGTGTGGAAACACGAGGAGCCACGACTAGGAATCACCGGTAGAAAAACCGTCACCATGTGTACTTCTTACGAAACCTTCCCGTGCAAAGATGTTTCAGTGGCAATCCCGTGGAACGGCGTTGTAAAAGGCGAACCACCATCCACACAAACTCAGTCTAAAAGAAACCCAAAGAAAACTTCAACTACTACTACAACTACCCCGGAAAACGCGACCACGAGTAAAAAATCAGGCCTCCCACCGTTACCTAAGAAAAACAATGACGGCACCGCAGATGGAGCAACAGAACAACATCAAGATGATGATCCCGCAACGCAGATTCCGCAAAACGAATCAGAGAACAACACAGGAGAGTCACTAAAGCATGGGGATTCACCTTCTATATCAATCTCCTCTCGGATTTCTTCTTGGTCTTGGTTTGATAGTAGTGGCAGTCATGGAACACATTCAGTTCAGCCAACAGCTTGGGGAATGGTGATCGTTACAGCCACGATCAAGGGCCAAATCCGAGCTTACCAAAATTTCGGATTGCCCCGCAGGGTTGGTCGTCAAGGCTCTCTGTTTTGACACAACCGCGCTCAATTATTGTACATATATACGGTGTATTATGTATAGTTCTCATGTATTCATGTATAGTCATACTGAGTTTAATTTAATTTGTATACTGTATAGTCACAAAACAAGACGAGACTTGATATATAGAGATTCTATACTATGATGCGAGAGCCACATTACCGTATAGAGAGTCTCACACCCACACTCAAGTAGTCAAGTACTTTAACGCATGAAGATAAGATACATCCAAAATTTGGATTCTAAATAGTCTAAACGTGCTCAAAACATCAAAACTTTTCATGCTAGATTTAGACTATAGCATGAAAATGTATTAAATTGGGAAAAAAATCTGTTTGAGTAGTTGAGTTTTTTTTTTTTTTTTTTTTAGTTGAGTTTTATGTTGGATAATTCAAGACTTAAAGAAGAAGTTATCTCTTAGAAGAAGAAGCTTCTAGAGATAAGTAAGGATATTCACAAATATGTTTTAGATAATGATAAAGTATCTAGATAGAGTTTGTGTTTAACCAAATCCAAATAGACTTGGGAGATGTTCAAGTTCTATATAAATACAAGGGTTCATGGAGAGATGTTCCATGAGACTTAGAGAGAAGAGATTTAGTTTTGTGAGAGTTTCTAAATCTAATAAAGAAGTGTTGTTCTTTATATTCTAAGTTCTAGCAATCATAACTTTGAATTGGTATCAGAGCTTGAAGGAGAAGTAACGATCGAAGACGACGATCAAAGCTTCACGTATCCAAGATGGGAGACGTGGAACCTTCAACACGAACAAAAGACATTGGAGCCCCAACGATCCAATGCCCTATGTTAACAACAACAAACTATACAGTTTGGGCGATGAGGATGAAGATCTTGTTAAGTGTAAGCGAAGTATGGGACACCATAGAACCAGGATCAACGGACAGAAAGAAGAACAATGTAGCGACAGCTCTTCTATTTCAATCAATCCCCGAGAGCCTCATCCTACAAATTGGAGAACAAGGCACGGCAAAGTTGCTGTGGGCTGCGATCAAATCTCGTCACCAGGGAGCAGACCGTGTTAAAGTGGCGAGACTCCAAACCCTAATGTCACAACTCGATCGGTTGAAGATGGAAGACACCGACTCGGTTGATGACTTTGCGGAAAAGATTTCGGGAATAGCTTCCCAATCTGCGTCTCTCGGAAATACAATTGACAAAACGAAGTTGGTGAAGAAGTTCTTGACAAGTCTTCCTAGAGGAAAATTCATACAAATTGTAGCTTCTCTTGAGCAAGTCCTAGACTTAGAGACAACGGGATTTGAAGAAATAGTAGGGAGAATAAAAGCTTACGATGAGCGTATAAGGGATGAGACTCAAGGAGAGGATCAAAGTAAACTCTTGTTTTCAAACAATAGCCACGGAGGCTACGGCGAAAACAGAAGAGGTTACGGAAACAGAGGAGGACGAGGTTTTGGTAGGGGCAGAGGAAACTTTGGTAGAGGCAGGGGTCGAGGGAGATTCAATAGCCAAGATCAAGGAGCAACAGCTGCGGAAGAAAAACCAAAATCGAAAAGAGATCGTTCCAAGGTAATATGTTGGAGATGTGACAAAGCGGGTCACTTTGCATTGACATGTCCCGAGAAACCAATGCAAAACCAAGAAGCTAACCTAAACGAGACACAAGAAGCCGATGCCTTATATGTCCATGAAGTCGTATTCCTTAACGAAGATAAGGTAATCCCTAAGAACTATGATACTAATAACAACTCGAGTATTTGGTATTTAGATACCGGTGCAAGTAACCACATGTCGGGGAACAAAGATTTCTTCTCAAGCCTAGATGAGAACGTAAAAGGTAAAGTGAGGTTTGGCGATGGCTCGTGTGTGAATATCATTGGCAAAGGAACGATTGTCTTTGTGTGCAAGACCGGAGAGAAAAGAGCTCTCAAAGACATCTATCTCATACCCGAGCTAAAACACAACATATTGAGTCTTGGACAAGCAACTGAAGGTGGGTGCGAAGTACACATGAAAGAAGACATCTTAACACTAAGTGATCCATGTGGAAAGTTGCTTGTAAGAGTCACGAGATCTCCAAACCGACTCTACAAAACCCCGATGAAAATAAGCAGTCCAATGTGTCTACTTTTACGTGATGATGAAGAAACATGGAAGTGGCACTCAAGACTTGGACATGTGAGCTTTGGTGTCATGAATAATATGGTACAAAAGGAGATGGTCGAAGGAATGCCACGAACTCTACATGAAAAGAGTGTGTGTGACGTGTGCTTAGCCGGAAAACAAACAAGAAATTCATTCCCGATAAAAACAAGCTTCCGTGCGGCACAAGCATTGGAACTAGTTCATGGCGACTTATGCGGGCCAATCTCACCACCAACACCAGCTAACAACCGGTATGTATTCGTCTTAATTGATGATTTTTCTAGGTACATGTGGACCATGTTGCTAAAGGAAAAGAGTGAGGCGTTCGATCGGTTTAAAAAGTTTAAAGAAGTTGTGGAGAAACAAACCGGGTTAACCGTGAAAACTTTTCGCACCGATAGAGGAGGAGAGTTTACCTCAGCTCAATTCACTTCCTTTTGTGAAGAAAAAGGAATAACAAGACATCTTACTGCTCCTTACATACCACAACAAAATGGTGTAGTTGAAAGAAGAAACCGGACATTAATGGAGATGACAAGAAGCTTACTTAAGGCAATGAGGATTCCGAATCACTTATGGGGAGAAGCTGTTCGTCATTCAACTTACCTCATTAATCGAGTTCCTACTAAGGCTTTGAAGGGTCAAACGCCTTACGAGTGCTTCACGTTCAAGAAACCGAACATAGAACATTTGAGAGTCTTTGGTTGTATGGCCTACGCTAAAATCAATGGACCACATCTTAAGAAGCTAGATGAAAGGTCAAGGAGCGTGGTCAATCTTGGAACCGAGCCGGGTTCTAAAGCCTATAGACTCTATGACCCGGTCTCAAGGAAAGTAATTGCTAGTAGAGACTTGGTCTTCGATGAAAAGAAAGCTTGGAACTGGTCATCTACAACAAGTGAATCCAATGGTGAACCGGGTATGTTTAAACTCACTCGTGGAGGTATTATAGATAATGGAGATGGATATGGTGATGATCAAGCCAATGAAAACCATAATCCGGATCAAGATCCTATAGACCAAGACGAAGAAGAAGAGGTAGAAGAAGAGGTAGAAGAAGAAGAACATGTTGACAATGCCGTGAATCAAGGAGCAGAGAATCAACAAGTAGTGACTAGATATGGCCGTACGATAAGACAACCTAGCTACCTTGATGATTATGTGTTGCTTGCAGAACAAGAAAGTGGTAGATTACTACTTACGGTAGACGGAGAACCTGAAAATTACTTTGAAGCTGAACATCAAAAGGAATGGATTGATGCAATGCAAGCCGAGTTGGATTCAATTCTCAAGAACAAGACATGGGAACTCGTTGATAAACCGGTTTATGTTAAACCTATTGGTCTTAAGTGGATTTATAAGATCAAGAAGAAAGCGGATGGCTCGGTTAATAAATACAAGGCAAGGCTTGTAGCTAAAGGCTATGTACAACAACAAGGCATAGATTTTGATGAAGTGTTTGCTCCGGTGGCACGTCTCGAAACTATACGCCTTCTCATAGCCTTAGC